CCTGTATTAAGTTTTAGCATTTTGTGCACTGACGCTCAATATTGTCGTGAAACCAATAAAGCGATGTTCTTGAGAGTTTCCTGCAGATATGTGATAGGGAGAGAGTGTTCCTGCTTACGTAACCATAGGCCTCGAACACTGGCTAACACGAATGAAGGTTAGTTACAAACCCACAAATGTCGCAGCTGAAACAATACAATCTATTTGATATTGGTTTTTCCGACTTAAGCATCTGCTTTGACGAGAATATCTTTCCACTGCCATTTACTCGGAAAATAAACTCGATTGTAAGTAATTGTACATTACATCAGTCAGAGAATATTTGCAGAGGTGATCCTAATAATATATCAGGAATGAAACCAAAACGTTCCGGAATCCATTATGATATCTGGGTTAAACGAATAATTGAATATTTCTTCGCTAAAAATATGCCGACAATCTACATCAAATTGCCAAAGAACTGCAAGTTTCCTAATATTCTCTATCAGGGCTCAACAACTCGTAATATTCAAAACAAATACGAGTAATAGTTTGAAGATGCGTTTCTTGGAAGCTGTTGCATATGTTTTAAACAAACGTTTTGAAGCAGCAGTCTCGAGTAAACCGTACATGTATCGTCTTTCAGAATAGGAGCTCCATATTTCAGCAACCATAAAGTGCCTCTGGGTAGCACCACAGATTTGTATCATTTACTTAAAGTAATATTAACAGGGCTGATAGAACCACATCAGACTTCCGGCTATGCTGAAGTACGTTTCCTCAGCTTTGGAACATGGTGTTTTCAAATGTTAGGTTAGTAGATAGAATCTTTTCAATGATAAACACTAAATGACAGTAGCTTTTTCGGTTTCAGAGAATAATGTAAGGCGCCCATACCTAAAATTCGTTTGGGCCCCCCCCCCCCCCCACCAATGTCTTAATTGGTGTTGTTCATTATATATATATTTTTCTGCATTATAATAGTATCTCCATTCTTTGAATAGTCCAACATTCTTAACATTTTGTCTAAACCAGTTTTTGGATAACGAAACAAGTACATAGTCGTCTGCTAAGTTGGAGAACACCATTAGTTATCATGCTGTATATATTTTACACTTTTTATAAAATATTCTGTCAAAGAATAATGATAATCAAATGTTTAAATCAAACATTTAGTGAAAATGGGGAAACAAATCTTTACAGATTTTTTATTTTATACTACATGTTTATGTATTTAAGAATAAGATGTTATGGAAGGTTCTAAGATTTTATTGCACAGCTTTTTCAAACTTTATCTTTACTTTTAATGATTTGCTTTTCAGTGACATTATGCTCATTTTTCGCTGTCAAGTTGAGTTGAATTAGTATTATATTTCAAAAGTTTGACCATTGAAATGATGATTGATCAGCAATTGATAAAGAAAAACCTTTATGATACAATAAATAAGCGATCTAAATAAAAAAGAAACCCCACTTTTTTAAGATTTGCACGATATAATTTCCGATACATTATAAAGAATGTTTTTAGACATTTCCGTCGGTCATGTGGATTACTCAGTGTGGCCATACCACGTGACATTGACGTCATTTTTGGCATCATTTCCAAGACAAATATTGCTCGATTCGGACAAGAAAATAGTCATAAATATTTTATTTCTGTACCAATTTCTTTGGGATATGCACCAGTCTACGGGGAAAAATATAAGCTTTCCACAGAATATTGGATATTCGTCAGTTTATAAGCCATTTTATCAAACACTTTGCATAACCTTGAAAGTTGCTTGTATTAGAGCGGGCTTCAGTTGCAAGCTATTTTGTTTTCTGGCGTTATCTGGTCTGATACGCCATGAATAAAAAGTCAGGTTTACATCAACCGGGAGTACGGAAGGCAAAACTCTACCTAAATAATTATGTTCATATTTTTATTATGAATGACATAAATCTTACATTTTTTCTTCAATTGTCAATTCTGGCACCAGTTCCAAGTCGAAAAAAAAGGACTACAGTTTAAAAGCAGATTTTAGAATCCGTTGCAAATGCGAAGCAACATGCCCTACCGTTCTTTTCTACAATTTAGTTTATCATTGTTGATCTTTCACAGAGAGATTGTGAAAAAACTGATTGTTCCTTAAAGCAATAACACCTATAACTTTGTATCGCAATAGTGCACGTCAAATCACTTAGATTTAGTCCTGTCGGAAAATAATATTTTGGTTTCGTTTTGAAGATGTTTTAAGTATTGCTCATTTATCCTATGTAGTAAAATGTGTTTTATTCTGTTTCACAATGGCGAAATTGATAAGAAATATATGTGCTCTCAGTAAGAGAAAGAGTTAAAATAAAAAAAAAACACCGTTTGTATGCTATGGAAAGGGTTACACTTTAACGCGAGTGTTGTAAAGCTAAAGGTATTTTTTCACTTTATTTTTTGTCAAGAGTTATGACAAACACTGACACTCGTGAATGTGACAAATAGGTTTTTTCTGTCCTCAAAAGAGAGACTTTTAAAAGGTTTATATTTTTTCTGGAATTGTTGTATAGATAAAATTTCTAAAAGAGTTTGATAAACGAAATCACAATTTGAACTTGGAACTTTGCCGTGTAAATCTGATAGTATTGTTACTTAGTTGCATTACTTATGATTCTCGAATAATTTATCAAAAAGACCCAAAATAGCCATGAATAAGAACGAGAATGGACGCCATGTGGAGTAAACAAAGTAGAAAATAGTAAACAGATAAATGATTTTACAAACCAATAGCCATCGATCACAGTCAAATTTCTTGAAAACAAAACATTCAAAAAGACGGAAATAACAATGATTATCAATAATTATATAAATATTTACATTAACATCTGTAATAGCAACATCGGCAAGATCTAAGACTAGGGTCCATATGACACTGATGCGTCCATTGAATAATTAATAGCTAGCATAAGCTTACTAAAATTGCGATTACAATTGAAGAGTATATTCAATTTTTATCCTTCAACTGTCAAATGACTTACTGCTTTATTTACATATCAGATAATTCACTTATTTAGTTAATGCGTCATGTTTATCTTGTTTTAGATTTTAATGTGTGGTCCGTTTTTAAATCTTAAAATGCTACAAAAAGCCATTTGAGGACATCTGCAGGTCATGCCGCGTGTAATAATCCATGCATTTACAGCCAATGACCACATCGATAAGAAATAGTCCCAAATAGCCCTATCGTTTTTATTCAGTTGAAAGAGACATTATTGTTAAAAAGGTCTACTCGATTTAAATGTTTTTCAAACCATAAATATTCCGTTCCCTTCCTCTCTTTACAATGTATATTGGTGAGCTCTCTGATTAAGCTGAGTTGACTGATTATAATTAAATAAATTTGTCAGCTATGCAGTTTATCAACAGAAATAAATGCAATTATAAAATAGATAGTATTTAATAGTGTTCTTAAGTTAACGAAGTTATATCCAGTTTACGAAAAACGGTTACCGTGGGTATGAAAACAGGATGTAAAAATATTTTTTATCAACGAGTGCCACTGTGTTAAAAAGCTGAATCTATCATACTAAAACATTGCTACGGGTTCTTTATATATACATGTATATGGTTATACGTATAAATAGCTCTTTTTTTTTACTTTAAAATTGCCGCGTTGAGGCGTAACCCTTTTTCACGCATACAAATCGGAGTGATCCCTGAATGTACACGTTCATTGGACAGGCTAGCTAAGTCAATCAACATTTTCAATTTTGCCGTTTTGGGCGATATTTAGCTAGGTTTCTGTTTTCTATTTTCCACGTTTAAGTATTGCTACATGACACAAATAGATTTTTCATAATCATTACCGTGAAAGAACAATGATTAAAGAGCAAATCAATTTCTTTACCAAATACAGACAAACAATTTTACGACTTTTAAAATCACTTATAGCGCAGCGGAGTAAAAAAATCATTTAAATATTCATTTTGTGTTTATGTAATCGTATATAGTAAATAAAATGTTTTTCATGGTTAACATAATTATAGAAAAGAGAACGGTAGGCATGTTGCTTTGCATTTGCAACGGATTCTAAATCTGCTTTAAACTGTAATCCTTTTTTTCGACTTGGAACTGGTGCCAGAATTGACAATGAAGAAAATATAAGATTATATCATTCATAATAAAAATATGAACATATTAAGTAGAGTTTTGCCTTCCGTACTCCCGGTTGATGTAAACCTGACTTTTATTCATGCGTAGACCAGATAACGCCAGAAACTAAATAGCTTGCAACTGAAGCCCGCTCTGATACAAGCAACTTCCAAGGTTATGCAAAGTGTTTGATAAAACGTCTTATAAACGGAAAAATATCCAATATTCTGTGGAAAGCTTATATTTTTCCCCGTAGACTGGTGCATATCCCAAAGAAATTGGTACAGAAATAAAATATTTACGGCTATTTTCTTTTCCGAATCGAGCAACATTTGTCTTGGAAATGATGCCGAAAATGACGTCAATGTCACGTGGTATGGCCACACTGTTACTGATAATTAATTTTTCATATCACAAAATGTCAAGTTATTTTGATTTTTACCTGTTCACCGACCATTTACCAATTGGTGGGCATAATGTCATAGTTCGGGCGGCTAAATGTATTTATGTCTAAGATTGTTTTTTTTTTAGAAATATTTGGTATATATGAAGAACAATGATTAAAGCCATTTTTGTTTAACAAATCCATTGTTTTTAATGAGTTTAAAATACAGACTCAGACTGTTATAATCACGCCATGCATCCGGCGAATCTATCAATCTTACCTCTTATATACGACATATGCTTTTCATATCAATATGTTACGTACGTGATCGTTCTTCTATATATTTTTTCTTCTTTTTGGCATGTGTACCCTATTTTTAGCTTCGATACACTCCGACGACTTCTCGTCCTTATCCAAACACTGAAGGAAAATGTCGAAAAGTTGCGATTGTTATTAATATTGATCATTATCATAACCATATCCATATTCATTACATGAGATTTATTAATGTAGGTCCACACTGGTCACCAGTTGAACGTGTTGCCCACGTGTTTCATATGTGGGATCTCTGGTACAAGATCAAAGAGACCGCCTGGGACAACGTGCAAAACAATAAACCACGTGACGAAGTTTGCACGTGCCTTGCCTCTGTTGAATTCAATGGCATAAAGGTATGTATGATCACTGGGAAAGGCGGGGAGATGCGGTACTCTTTACTTAAAAAAAATGTATTTCAAGAATTTCCTTGCTGAACATCTATGTGACATTGTAAACTGGTAAAATCAGTTTTAAAAAGAATATTTACATTGACAGCAATTCAAAATCTGTTTCTATCCAAGCATAAAAATAAATGCTAATAAATTGACTGTTCCAAATTCTAAGCAGGGCAAGTCCATTATACACATTTCTACTTTTTCATTTAGGATGCTGTCGCATGGGTCGCAAACCACTATAAAACCGGCACGCCGATCACTTTGTTGGATCGTCCTATACCAAAACTGGTCGACGCCAACTCCTGGGGAATCTGGAAACAGCGTCTGCTGCACTACTATACACCGGAAGCTCTTAATGATGCCGCCATGTACCTCCACTGTGTCTCACAGTTCTGGTAGAATCCTTGAAAGGAAGATTTATTTAGTGTTTATTTTGTAATGGAATCACTTATTTCTATAACATATTGTACCGAATGATTGTCCTTAGAACTACCTTAGTGTATGATGTATTTTTCTGAACTTTTAGTTAGAGAATTGTGACTTTACTTTTGAATAAACTGATAATATATATATTCTTGTAATTGTATTCTTCAGACTTGGTCTATTATGTTATTATATAACTCTTTATTATTATTGAGACGCAGTTAAATTTAGAAATCGACAAAGTATACAACAATGTTGAAAAGTATATAAATACAATACATGGAATATAATCTTTACGCGTATACATACTGATAAACAACAGCAAAATAGTTACGTGCGCATGTGTCTGGCCACATTCGTAACAAATTACATTTGCAACAGTGTTTTACAAACGTGCCATTACATACCTAATATCATCATCGATTCGCCATATTATTTTGAGATACCGGCTAGCTGAACCGGTATGGCCACATATAGATGTTTCAGTTTAGGTGGGAGCTGGTTCGAGTCCAGGTATTATGAAAACGTTTAATGCGTCTTTATTTCGCCAACCAAAGCTTTTTGAAGTAAGAAAATAATATTGAATTAAGATCAGCGAAGACGGGGATGACCTTGTACAACTAATTTCCCTTCAATATTGAAATGTTATCGTTATATTGTTATATTGTAAAAGAAAGGGATTATTTGAGCGAAAGATAACGGTGGAAATGAGTTGGATTTTAATGACATCTCTGTCTCCGAACTGCCGAGTCAGTGTGGTGTTTTTCTTTCAGACAAAAAAAATAGTGAGGATTCGTTTAACTCATAATGCGTAGGTATTTAACTGGATTTTACCATCGTGGTGTCCCTACACGGCGGGAAATTAACCTGAGACTAAATCTATATGATATATCTATCAGAAACTTCTAAGTTAACGCTATGCCGTCGAGATTCCATATGTGGTTTGTGCATAAAATGTAATTCTAGCTCTAAATTGACATTACGTACGGTTTTATGATATAACAAGATAGCTATAATGGTCATAGATCGCTAACCGCAGCCTGAGACCATTGCTAACAAAAGGCATGCTTCCTTCAATGAAGTGTTTATCATTTGTTCACATTCAACATAATTAAACAACAACTAGAAAAGGCTGCATCCTGATATCTGAGATGTATCTGACGACAAGATTTTGAATATTTTCATTAAAACAACATATTTTAGCTTCAGTAGTTTACTTAATTGTGTGTGATATTTGACCCAAAATATAATCCTTGTAGAGGACTTCATGATGCCATCTACAACAACTGAGGGGAAATTGAGATCCATCAGGAGCTGAAAACAACAAAATTTCACGAAAATTGCAGACTCGGTTGGACTGAATATGTTGTTCATGAACATTAAAAATGTGCAACATCCCTTGTTTTCATTATAACTGAATTCTAACACAATCCGGAATTTCTCACATAACAGATTTTATACTGATGCGGCCTAATAATGCTTAACGAAACTATGAAATTCGGTGTTCTGTGTAGATTACATGAGACTTTTCAATTGGAGTTTTCTAAGGCGAGTTTGACTCTAATTTAAATTGCATTAAAATTTATCGCGCCGATGTACATGTGTAAGCTGACAATCTTTGGAGTGACAGGTAATTCGGTACGAGGCTTGCACAAACTCATGAACATGATTCAGGGGTTAGACAAGAAAAGAATCAGTCCATGCTCTGTTTTGATCGACGTAGTTGACTTAAAATGGCTGTTGGTAAAAGACACCATGCCTGATGTAATTCCATTCTAGTCTGTTTTGGTATATTGTTTTCAGAATCGCCTCTGTCGAAAAGGTCGGCTCCTATTTGGACATACATGTACTTCATAAAATATGATGCCGAGATTGGAGGTGGCCAGGCCAGGTAATGATTCGACATTTTAGATTTGAAATGGATGGTTGGTGAAAAATATTTACAGGGTGTTTGATTGCCCAGTTGGAATTTTGACAATTTGCTTTAAATTGTGACGGGTTATATTTTGCATTTCTTCTTTGACGGTCCTAAATTCCCAATCAATATCAGACACGTTTTAAATCATATAAAAAACAAACTGTTGGGTCTTTACTCAAAGCGACATTTAGATCATTAAATTTTAATGAATGTAAGTCAAGTTCGCGGTCATGTAAAAAGCCTCGCCAAGATAGGCATCACCAGAAGATATGTTAAGAGACCTTAAATAAGGAGAGTAAGTGTAGTGTTTATTAGATAAAATAATAATGCTGAAAAAAAACTGAAAATGGGTTCGATCAAAAGAAAGATATTGGTGTAAAGTCAAAGACGATTGTTTTGTTAAATATATTTCTTAAAAATATAGTGTGCTCATTACGTGTTTTTTTTTTACATTACGCATGATGATACCAGTGTACATACATTTGTATTCTCATTCTTATATGCGTTCTCATTGCCTGTTCGACTTATGCCAAGGCAACCATGCGCATGTTTTGCTCGTGGGAGATTGGCTAGTTTTGTCTCCATACCAAAGTTTTGTTCTTTTATTCTAAGTTTTCTCTCGATTTATCATTATATCCGTGTAAGTGGAAGATGTTTTAAGGATCGGACCACTGTTTATTACAGCTGCTTCTGTTTCTGGTGCGTTCTTGGATCCTTGCGTTGTCAACATTTTCAATCAGATCAGTATAAAGGTACCTGTAGATACCGGAAAGCTTTCAAATAAGTTGATGTCAATGGTATGAAAGAAAATATAGATAACCCCAATCAGACGACAAAGTGTGATTTATTACACGAGTACTTATACGTCTAGGTATATTGAATGAGCATGGTGATCGAAGAATTAAGATACTAAATTTTCTTGTATGTTTGCTGCATTTATCCAGCCTTTGTGTCAGCAAGAAAGCTAGAGCGACAAAACGCACGAGGCAGAAAGAAGTGAAGAAGAAGTGGTCGGGGAGCAGCAGAGCAAGATAGAGTCAATTATTAATTACTCTAAGTTTCGTAGGCGAGATGAAGCTTGAAAATTAAAAATGATGGTTTATCAGATTAAAAGAAAATGCTTGAGAAAAACCCAACAAAAACAAAAAACAACAGAGATTGCAGTGACCTCAAGTTATCGTGACTTAACATCAAGCACGTGACAATGAAAGTGATAAATGTGAATTGTAAAACGACAAATATTGAGTCGATGGTTTCAACTTTTATATAGCATAACATATGTGTTGAAACAGATCGAGTCTTTTAAATGGAATGGTTAAGTCACTGATGGTTTTACGGAAATTTGAAAAATAATTGGATTTCATCTATATCCCATGAAACAAAGGATCACAGACATTTTTACTGTCATAACTTTACGATATTACAATCTCGGTTGAATATCTTTCCATGATTAAAGTTAATTCTTACGATTTTTTTTCTGCAATCAATGTGTAACCACTTTAGTACATCCACATCCGTCTTTAAAGCCGTCGTGCATCGTAATAAAGATTCGATCGGTTTTCTCTCATTCAATGTTTTATCAACAAAATACATTCAAATATTTATGTGTAAATATTTTATCTGAGATTTATTCAATATACTTAAAAGTGCATTTAATTAAGTGTTTGGTATACAAGTAAAATAACATAGACACGTATCGTCAACAAACCGAACAAAACACGCATTTAACCGCCTACACATCAAATGTACCTTGGTATTTTACGGTAAATAAATAAATAAATAAATAAAAGCGGACCATTTTTGTGTCGCCTCAACAGAGTAGTGGCAACATATAGGGATCACTTTTCCGTCGTCTGTCTGTCCGTTACAAAACTTGTCCGGACTACTTCTCAGAAAATACTGGTGCAATTTCATCCTTACTTTACAGGAATGACCTATACCAAGTCTAGTTGTGCATATCGGTTTAATGATTTTTGTCAGAGTTATGGCCCTATAATGATTTTATTTTGAAAGTTTGTCCGGACTCCTCATATGCTATTGATCAGTATCTTTCAAATAGAATTTATTTGAAATGCAACTGTACAGGATTGATATATAGCTCAAGTACTTATATACACATATTACATGGACCGGTTTACGGTTGAATGATTTTTGACTGAGTTATGGCCCTTAAATAAAAAAACGCATTTTGCCCTGTTAATAATTTTCATGTGTCTCTGATACATGCAATTGGCAATCATGAGGCGACACGTGATCACTGGTCGCTCTTGTTGTTCTGAATGTCAGACTGGGGAAAAAGAACCCCCGTCCATGCACATTTGCAAACATATTAAATATATTATATATATTTTGACTTTCACCGTGCATATTCAATATTAAATCGTTTACATAACAGAAGGGAAAAAATACAATGTATGTATAGTGTATGAAATTATTTAAGGGGAGATTATGATCGTACTGATCATATAATGGTGTTCGTCATATTTACTTCCCTTTGATTTCAACTTTCCATTTGTACCGAATTAGCACTTGAGGTTTACATGATTTACTAATTGGACAGGTAATCTAATTATGATTTTACATACAATATGATTAATTGGTTCAGGTAATGAAGACATAGATTTCTTATTTTAGTCCGTCATTTCTGATATATAGATTATATTTCCTGGGTCATCAGATTTCGCGATCAGTTTCATTAAACAAATGATGATACATCATTACATGTATGCACTTTTCGTTTCTATGGAAATAGATATCGTATTGTAAAAAGGTCATTATAAAATATTCCGGGGACGTATTAATGATGACGATTTTAAAATGAAAATAAAACATGTTCCAAAATAGTCCAGATCATGTTTATGCATAATATTGTGTTTACTATTGTGATATGACATAAACTATGATGATTAAAGCATAAAATAACAGTAGATCTAGTGTGCTGTGTTACCCCCATTTTCATGTTAGGTTACTGTAGGCCTAGGCTAAAGGATTTTTGCCATTACTTGTCAAGGTGTGTATTTAATTGATAATCTATTAAATTAAATAAAATTTAATTATTGTATTGTATTTCAGGTTGTTGGATAATCTGACCACATATTTAGTATGTCTGAAGCAGCTGATGAAAATCAAGTTAGTATTAAACATGTACATAAATACACAATTTTTCAGTGACTAATTATACATCAAGTTGATATTATTGCTTATCCATATTTGAGTTGGAGTGAATTTCAAATGTTTAAATCAGTGTTGCATCTAGGCCACGCGATTGCATGATTTGCGCATATTTTATGCGCCAAGTCGCGCATTTGATGATCTTTTCAACTTATTTCAGTTCATCATATCTTGAACGCTTCAGCCATGTTTGTTTTCACTTGTGGTAATGACTAAAATACATACTAAATCGGGTGAAGCAGCCGACTGGGTTATCTAGCGTGTGTATTGTAGTATTCATCAATATTTTATTTTTCCAATTTCCGTTGTTGAGCAGACGCTAGCCGTCAAAAATGCCTGAACGTAAAATAAATGAATTCTTTTCGGTACGTCATAGTAAGGTAAATGTATTTCCCCCACATTGTTTTCAAATCCCCCACATTTTTCAGTTGAGTAGGGGACAATCCCCTATAATATTGAAATTCTAGATGCAACACTGGTATAATTGTTAAGGAACGAAATGTATGCACAATTATACAGCACAGCTTATTTTTGGAAATATGATGATTTTAAAGAAATCCTTTTGTTGAATTTGTTGAACAAGAATAATTTAAAGCTGTTACAACAATATATCAAGTACTATAACAATGTTACAAGCAATAAGCTGTCTTTAACTCTTAAGACATTCTAATTATAAGTACATGTAGCATCGGATGATTTATTTCTACAGAATGCAGGTGCCCGCAAAAAAACAGAGAATAAGCCAAGTTTGGCACAGGTAATGCAGAAAGGTAGAGAGGAGAAAAAGCAGCAGGGTGGACGGCAAGCTACAAGTGGGTCACCTAGGGTAGGAGCTGGCAGACAGGGTGGCGTGGCTGATGGACAAGCTACAAGTGGGTCACCTAGGGTAGGAGTTGGCATGCAGGGTGATGTTGAGGATCAGAAAGAAGATATACACAGTGAAGATAGTGACACAGATGAAGAAGAGTATAATATGATGATTGCTGGCCTCTCTGAAGTTGTGAGTTGTTTCGACTTTTCCCCCATTTTGTTTTCTTTTGTTTTCTTTATTATAGGTTTCTTTTTTTCACATGCAGATTGATAAGACTTGTCAGTTGTTTGTTTAGCAGTGAACTAAGAATTAGTAACTTTTTGAAACATTTCTGACTTGCATTTTTGTTGGAGCTTAAATGGAAAGAGATTAAACACTTGAAGAAGAATAGGTTTACAAGAAATGTGATTTTAAATGTATTGTATTTGCATTTACCTCTTCTAGGTTACATTTACCGCAATAACAAGAAGTATTAAAAGTTTTGTTGATTTCCTTAGGTTTTATGATAAACTGACATTGTCTTGGTATCCTAGTTTTATTTTCCTATGTAAAAAAAAACAAACATTGGTCACTTCATAATGATAAAGCATGCCAGTTTACAAGTTTACATATGTTGCTGAATAAGGATAAAAATTCTATTTTATTTAAATAAGCAAGATTGATAGTAATTGTTTAACAGTTTAGCATTAATTAGTACTCCAATTTTTAAATTGATTTTTAAGTACAGAGTAATCATGTATTAATTTATACTTTTACAGGCATTATTGATGAAGAAACCAGAACCAGTGTTTGGGTAAGTACAGACCAGTCTTATTAAAGAACACATCCACTTAGTTCTTTCATGTACATGTACATCTGAGCTTGACAAACATCCTAAATAGGATTTTTAATAGAGATTTTTTAATCTAAGGCCAATTTTAACCCATATAATCATCTGTTACAGAAATGCAATTGTAAAAATCATCTGTTATGGCAGACATGTCATTGATTTGGGGTTTAAAAAAACACATACATAGATATTCTGATTGTACTTTCTGCAACACATTTAATGCTGTCAGTTTGTAGTATATGAAGCATTGGTTAAAGTTTATTAAGTTTATCTGAAAACCATGAGTGCTGCCATTTTTTCTTCACCCGTAACATTTCAAAATTGTAAATATTATCTACCAATACTCATGTTGGTTTCTCAGCGGTTAACATTCGATTGAAACTGAATTGCTTTCTTAAACATGAAAGGTAGCCATTGATTGCTGGCTGTTTGAATGGATCACCACCAGTTTAGAATGGTCACCACCAGTTTGTATGCATCAGATCCTAATGAGAAGTGTTCATAAAGAGCTGGTTTTAACCAGATTGAGTACAGACAATTAATGTTACATAATTATGCAATATCACTGTTAACATTTAATAAATGTGTAGATTTTTTTTCATCAATAAAAACAAGTGGTGTGTTTCCTATCTAGGCCAGAAAGTAAATATGAATACTATTTTGATTACCTTTCATAATACATTGTTTTCATGTTGTATTTGAAATGAGTCTATAACTAAGACTTACTTGAAAATGACCCACATGGAAGATCGAAAAACTGAATGTGTTAGTCTCATTAAATAAAGTTGTAACTTAATTACTTTCTCTATTGTTTCTTGTTTGTTTACAGGACAGGTTTTCTGTATGATGAAAGGTTTACCCTCCACAAGAATGACTGGCAATCTAATTTTCCAGAGAAACCAGCCAGAGTATCCAGTCCTTATCAAAGATGCTGTGACTTTGACCTTGTTAGCAGATGTACCAATATTGAGGTCAGTTTAAAGAATTTACTGGCTAATAAAATGTATAGCCAACTAAGATAAGGATAGACTGCTCAATGAAACAACAGCTTGTCTCTGACACTCCTTAGATCATTAGTCCAACCATTTTGCCACAACACCACACATAAGACATTGACATCTATATGTAGCACTGATACAAAATGATTGTGTCCATTTTATTTGTTACAACTATAATAAAGGAAGGAAAATCTAAATAAACCGCCAATTCATTAAGAATTGCATATAAAATGACTGTTTTACAGGCATAGAAAATTATTTTCAGAGTCACTCGTCCTGCAGGAGTAGCTTCTAAATGCATTGTGCAGGCAGCATTTTTCTACTCGTCCTGCATTGAGTTTGCTTAAATTTTACTTGTAATTACGAGCTGAAGAACAAAATTTCGATCTCTGTTTCAAAATGATTTTTCTCCCTTGAAATTGGTTTTATTAAAGCTTATCTCAGGGTAAGTGTATAACATGTTTTTTTGTTAATATCTGACTTATACTTTCAAACGAAATCATTTATTTTCCAAAATTTAAGCATGAATCAACTTAATACCTCTTTAACGACAAAGGTATGGATAGACACAGTGTAATATTTACTGCCAATTATTGACATATAGATTTAATATGTTTTCAGGCAAGATACGGAACAGAGGATCAGGTACTATTACAACATTCACAGAAACAGATAGACATTTTACAGTCAGTGACTGAGATGGATATTACAGAGAGGAAAGAACTCTCAAAGAAATATGATTCTGTATATTTCCACCAGGTGAAATTTCTGTCTTTTAAGTTCTATACTGTTATATATCAGTGTTCAGTATACTGTATAAGTGGTTAGGTTAGCAACACAGAAATATTGTCGAATTTCGCAAATTGAAGAAAATGGCTAACATTTCCTCTAGTGTAATTACATCAGTAGAGAATTCAGTAACTTATTCTAACTGTATAACTATTTACTCAAGCTCTGTATTATCAGAACATTTCAATTATCGATGATTTTCAAATATTTTGTAATGTGCAATTTTGCACAAATTGAACTTAAATATTTATGACTAAGTTTTACAAAAAATTGCCGTGTTTACAGTAAATTTGTCTGTTTTACACAAAATGTATATTATCAAATTCACCATCAAAACTCGTAGCAATGTTAGAGAAAAAGTTAAGTATGTCAGTAATACATACATTGTACATGTGAACTCTCCCACTTTGAGCGGGAGACTCCCACTTTCTGCAGCCATATTTTCAAAGATTTTTCTTAAAATAAGGGGTGTTTTCACAAATCAAAGAAATCTCCCTCTTTTTGATGTCAGAACTTTCTTCTTTGTTTATTGCAAATTATAAAATCTCCCTCTTTTTGAAGAATAATCTCCCACTTGACCATCAAAAAAAGTTCACATGTATGATAATACAATGTCCCAGGTTACCACATTTATAAGGATTGTTTCGTTTGTTTATTTGTTTTTAGGAAACTTTCCAGACAGCTATGTTATCGATGGGAAGTACAATAGAAATGATGGAGCAAATACTGAAGAAAAACGTAACATTTTTAAAAAATTTCAGCTTTATTTAAACATGTACTTTCAATTTAGTAACCACAACTACAACATCTCTTTATCTATTGTATCTTATTTTATTGAAAAAATTTATATCTATTTTCTTTGAAATTTTTACCTTTTTGTATTCTTTCGAAATTTAAATTTGAATTATTTTGAACTGTCAGTGATGTAATTTACTACTACTTCTTCTTATATAAGTAAAATGTTCAAAAAATTTATAGCCTAACAACTTAGTTTAGTAATGTTTTATTGTTTAAACCATGCATGTACATTCAGTCTACAATTTTATGATTTTACAATGTATATAATGATAAGTGAGTGGTAGCCTAGTGGTTAAGATGTCTGCCTCTAAAGACAGGGATCATGGGTTTGAGCCCCACTTAGGGTCATGACCATGTTTCCACATATGACACCAGTACTGGTTAGTCCAAGGAAGCAGACTTGAAAGTGGTTAATATAAGTTGCAAGAACTTGTTGCGCGATTGAACTAAAATAAGTAAGTTTAAAGATGTATTAGGCTCAAATTTGATATTTGAAAATATTGGAAATTGCTACACAATTCCTTTGTAAAGGTCAAATTAACATGTTTTGAGTACACACGGAGTATATGTATAATTTTTTGAACTCTACACACTACAGGTAGACACAGTATGAATACATAGTGTAATTAAAAAAACTGGCAGTTTTTTTTAAGAAATGGCCAACTTTGCTTGACTAGTAATTGGGAATGCAGTTTCCAATACACAGTTTGTGCATTCTATTATTCAAATTAGACATAATTAGTAAGAATTTCATTTTAAATAAATTTCTGCAATAAAAATATTAGGTTCTACAACATGATCATGGCCTTACAACTGAGGTGTAGGTATAAATAAAATTAAAATCAAGTTTCTTACAAAAAAATGGTGCATTCACTTACAATATGTTTTTTTATGATTCCAAATTTGTCAAAAACATTGTAAGTCTTTTTGATTTTTCATATAATGAAAATAATGCCTACATTTTCATATTGACAATTTCATATTTTGAAAATTAATGCTTTGTAGTCAGTTTTATATGATAATTAAATAGAAACAGCTTACACATTTTCATGGTTTTAATCAAAGTGATCTTTTTTCAGGTAAGAAATGGATTTGTTTTATCAAGGTATGTATCATTATAATACTTTTATTTGCTTATTCTATGTATTCTAAATACAAATGTACTTGTTTAGAAATTATTACATTTTTCATTTTGATAAGAAACTAATACTTTTAGTTTTTATCCTTATGTTGAAGAATTTATTCTCAGGTGCAAACCATTGCTTCCTTCCACTTATTGCTGAGTACTGCTTGATTCCAGGAAAAGATTTTAAAGTGTATCTATAAGCTTTCAGTTTCCTACACAGTGGAATTACAATAAATTCTGTATAAACAAAGAATTTATTCTTATCATTTATATCTTGTTTTAGTATTTTATCTTCCAAAGTTTTTGGGAAACATATTGTCTTTGCCTTTGCCATCTGTCCGCCGGCACTTCCGAATAGTGATAGGGGGCCATCTAACTGTAAACAGAACAAAAGAGAAGAATAGAATTCATTCCGTAACAATAGAGTAAGGGGCCATGGCCCTCTATTAAACAAAATAAAATAGAAATGACCCGTTATCTCTATTTGGTCAGACTGCCATCTGTCTGTATTAAGCTTGTCTGGCTTTTACAGGGGTTGATCAGTAGTAAACCTAGTTGTGCATATTGTCTGCATGTTCCGCTTTGCTTCACAAAATGGCCAGAAGGGCTATTGTCATGAAAATTTCTGTTAGCAAAGTGATGAGTTATCAAATAAATTTAGTTTGATTGAAAGATATATTTTCTTACAAAAATCAAATGAATCAAAATACACGTATTAATGAGTGAGCGATAAATGCTGAATGTAATACATAAGTAAAATATAAACCCAATTATTATAAAATGACCTGCCATGCTTGATTTGTTGTTGTTGTTGTCAAGGCCACCAGGACACCATGCAATGACAGAGGAATTTTGTGGATTTTGTTTCTTCAATAATGTTGCTATAGCAGCCAAGCATGCAGTTGATAATCTTGGACTGAAAAGGTAAGTATAACAGTATATATGCAGTTTTTTTCCAGCAAATTTTATCTTTTAAATAAGTTTCTGAGGGAAAAATCAAAATACTTTTTGAAAACTACTTGCAAAAAGGAATGAAATAAAAATGATTTATTTTGTCATTCAAATAAATCATTAAATTTCAAAAATGGTATGTTTTAGATTGACATGAAATTATAAATTAGGTACATATAGATACTGCATTATCATGAACAACTTAACAAGAATTATCAAATTATAACTCATAATAGGACATATTCCAAATGGTGTTTACATTTTACTACTTTTCCAGAGTAGTGGGGTGTGGAAGAGGAGTCATGAGTTAAAATTTTGCTGATTTGCTTTAGTTTTTTGTGTGATTTCCTCTTAAGACTCCTTAACATTGTTTTTGGATCCACTCATTTTTGGCATGTTGAAAAATAGTTTATGCTTTCACAATATTGAATTTATTTTACAGGATATTGATTGTGGACTGGGATATACATCATGGTCAGGCAACCCAGCAAATGTTCTATAATGATCCTAGGTAAGTTATTTTATACTTCCTTCCAGATGTTTTCATTCAAACTGACAAAAACTGACAAGTGAGTGTCGTCTGCCACATTTTCCAGCAGTGTATACATGTACTGAAATAAAGTATTTGTGTTAATATGCTGTAGCTTTCTGTAGTAGTTTTGTGAAATGTATACCAAACTTTTCTTATAATTATATTATATATATGTTATAGCGGCAACTGTAACTTGGTGATGGATGTGTACATGTATTTCTTTTTACCAATAAACTCTGACTTGACTTTGCAATTTGATATCATTTTGGGTGTAGTAGTGTATAACATGCCTTAAACTATAATTAAAACCATCTTTAATAAAGCATCCTAATAAAACAATTGTATTTTTTTTGTGACCACAGCATTACTTGAGCTACAATACACATGATGTGATTTGCTTAAATGTTATTTACCCCTGGCTATAAAGTTGAGTGCAGATAGGTATTGAGAATTAAAGTCAGCTGACTATATTTGGATGACAATCCTATGAGTTCTTCATTACACTTTGTCACATACATATAAAACCATTTGAGCTGGAGGAATGTCAGTTGCTTGGTGGTTATGGTCATTGACTTCAAACTGCTTTTCCCACACTACTATCGGTTTGAGGCCTGTCAGAGACTTAGGATTCTTTCATCTGAGGAAGCTATCTAGCTAGCTTATGAAACGTCAGTGGTTATACTCGGGTGACTGTTAATGTCTGAAATAATATATGAAGGGAAACCAGAGGTCTTCCTCCACAAGTAAAGCTGGAAAGTCACTATTTGATCTTTACAGAGTTGGTGTGACATAAAACCAAACAAAATTTTAAAAAAAATGAGCTACAGTTATTTCCCATATCAATTTCACAAGGTATTTTATTTGATCATGGAACATGTATATTTGTCAGGGTGTTGTATTTTTCTATCCACCGATACGAGTATGGTGAATATTGGCCTAGTCTAAGGGAGTCAGATTATGACAATATCGGAGATGGTGAAGGCAGAGGTTACAACATTAATGTACCACTAAATCAGGTAATTATCTTGATATAGAATCAGGTGATAATAAATCCCGTATTGAACTATCATTTTTAGCAATTTGTTCTATAGAACTTGAACAACATCCAGGTTGAAAGTTTTAATAATTTGTATGGTAATGTCCATGGTTATGATGATTTACTGGCTTATGATATCAAAAGATATTTTAAATGTTTATTATCTTCTTTGGACAGTCAAGGTAACCTGCCTTTGATATTGTTTTATTGTGTTGTTATTTAAATTTATGATTTTAAGACTTAAGCATATTATGTGGAATGATTTGCCACATTTCTGTTTTACTTGTCTATAGTTCTACCAAGATATACATGTTTCCTAGCAATGGTTTTTCAAAGGATCGACGCTAAATTATAAAAAAGAAATTGAATCACAAACTGATGCTGTGTTTTTGTTTCTGATACATGTTGGTTATGAAGATGTACAAGCTTTAGTGCACAACAAAATAATACTGATTTTCCAAATTAGAATTGTTAAATATTGAGTAAGGTGTTAAGCCTTTTATATTTTTTTTTATTTTAGACTGGTGTAGGAGATAGTGAATATCTGGCTATTCTTCAACAAATTCTGATGCCAGTCGCTTACCAGGTATGATATATTCATCTGATTTGGAAGCTGTTCAGTTAATAGTCTTTTCAGTATTTTGTTTTTTATTTGATTGGGCACTTTTAGTCACTCCAGTGTCAAGGTCATACAGAGACATTATGGGTCTACTGATGGTCGAAAGTTCCTACTGGGGTTCAAACCCAGAGTTATGGTTTGCTTTATATGTCCTTGGTTGAAGAATTCTTTATAGAAGTCTTTCAGATGTTAAATGTTGATGTCGATAAGTTGCAAGATGTGTAACTAACTGGCAATGTAAGGTATATGATATTTATACAAAAAAAATCATATTTTTTTTTTACACTGTCATTTCCCTTTCTAATATAGAATATTTAGTGATTCCTGGAGCTTGGAAAACAGGTTTTAACAAATGCAACTTACACTCTATTTTATGTTATTCCAGTGTTACACCGAGGCTTTTGTTATCATAAAAAAAGATAATACTTTTACAACTTGAATCAGCTGTATAAATAAGAATAGAAATGTTTTACACCCTTTTCAATCATTTTAGTGAGATGAATAAGTATTGTTTCATGAAAATCATGAAAAATTGAATATATTGATCATTACTTTCAGTACAACCCTGAGCTGGTGTTAATTTCTAGCGGTTATGATTCAGCTATTGGTTGTCCAGAGGTACCAGTGTTGTCATATAAAACTATGCACTACTATCTGCCAGTGTTATCATATAAAACTATTCACTACTATCTGCACACTTTATAACTTAGTATGGAAACTTTTCATAACCAGTCTGTCTTCTATTTTGTATGTTCTGCTTTGCAAGGAATTGCCAATTATTACATGTATAGAAATCAATGGCTACAGTGTAATTCTCTGGTTTAAATATATTTGATATCAATATTTTGCCAGAGAGAAAGCACTTTCTTTTCTTGAAATGAAAATCATATAATCTTCAAATATATTGAAGTATTTAGTTGCATTTTAAAATTGCTAATAAGCAATTTGCAAAGTATTTGACAATTTCTCTATTTTGAACTTGTTTTAATGAAGTGACATGTTTATGATTCTAAAATTCTCATCAATGATGATCATGTTTGATTTAAAATTTATAATGATATAAGCATTGGTTACTATAGTAATGTAATAGTTAGGCATTCCATTCTTTACATATGCTTTCCAAAAACTTTGATACAAAATTTCTTTTTTTTTACATGTGTGTTAATACATGTATTAAGTTTAAAGTCATACCTATTCACTGACCCTTCATAATGTATAACTCCATTGCCTAGTTTTGAATTTTGAATAGTCCATTGTCAACTTTGTGGATGTTGTACTGAAAATATCAAATTTGACCAGACTGCACAAAATGGAAAGTTTGTATGGCTCCTCACTGGTAGCAATAGCTGTTCTCTTTCTGTTTGATCATTCTAATTTCTAAATGGGTGAAGACGTACTTCTTTTCTTATAGTGTATGAATTGGTATCATGAAAAAAGCAGTATTGTCTATCGCAAAAACCTGTTTTGGACAGCATATGTATTTATGTAGAACAGTTATAGGAATTAAGGTTCTGGAAATAATTCAAATATTTTTTTAATAATGACTTACTTGCTACTAACAGTATGCTCCTGAAATAGTTCTTGTGTCCAGTGGTTATGATGCAGCAATAGGGGATGTTAAGGTAATGTTTTGTATAACATCATATTCTTACTAACCATAACTAACACTGTAAAAAATTAATAAAATTGGGCAGTAGACTGTATAGATTCTTATCTGACTGTACTTACGTTCAGGCATGTCATCATTGTTTTTGTTTTTTTGGTTGGGTTTTACAACATAGGTCATATGGCGACTTTTAGGCTTTTCTTGTGGAGGAAGGCCTCAGGTGCCCTTCTTTGCATTATATTAGGCATGAATGGGCACTTGAGTAAAACCTCAGAGTCGTTCCAAAAGCTAGCTGGATAACTTCCTTTCATGAAAAAATCCAAAGTCCTGTCAGGATTCGAACCAACACCAGTGATGGGCAAGTGTTTTGAAGTCAATGACCCTAACCACTTGTCAAGGGAAGCTCCATCATTGTTTCTAACCTACAAATGATTAACCCTACTAAAATTTGAAATGAACTTGCCTTGCTTTGACAATATAACTGTTTGCTAGATGTTTAACAAGTTTTTATATCAAAATATCCACCCAGTAGTATTGACAGCTTATGGCATACTTATGGCATACTGTAGAGCTGGTTTTTATTCACATTTGTTTCATTCTTGCTAATATTTGCGGATCAATTTCTTTGCTAATTCATAGTTACTGTGAATAAGTATGTAAGCCAGAAATTGTGAATACATGTATCTTATTTTATTCAGCAATACTTATTAAACAGAAAATGAGAGTAATAAAGATAAGTTTTAATAAGTTTTGATAAGTAGGAAGAGTAAAATAGAAAATAAATTTGGTGAAAATTGCTGATTTCCAAAATATTGTTTATGTTAAGATTTAATAATGCTTTCTGCACTTACATGAATGTGTATGCCAATGGTATCTGCTTGATTTGATGCTGCTTTTAGTGCATTTTATACATGTAGTAGAATAACTATTCTCTTGAATTTATTCACTTTAATTTTGATTTAAGTTATAGTTTGTGTGTTTTAAGCTCACCTGTCACAAAGTGACAGGGTGAGCTTTTGTGATCACTTTTCGTCCGGTGTACGTCCGGCGTCCATCCGTCCGTCGTCCGTCCGTAAACTTTTACTTTAAATGACATCTCCTCATAAACCAGTGAGCCAATTTCATCCAAACTTCACAGGAATGTTCCTTTGGTGGTCACCTTTGAAAATTGTTCAAAGAATTTAATTCCATGCAGAACTCTGGTTGCCATGGCAACCAAAAGAAAAAACTTTAAATATCTTCTTCAAAAAACCCAAAGAGCTAGAGCTTAGATATTTGGCATGAAACATCTTCTAGTAATTGTCTACCAAGTTTGTTCAAATAAAAGCCCTGGGGTCAAAATTGGCCCCGCCCAAGGGGGTCATTGATTTTCCCTATATGCATATAGTAAAAACTTAAAATATCTTCTTTTAAAGAACCCAAAGACCTAGAGCTAAGATATTTAGCATGAAACATCCTCTAATGGGTGTCTACCAAGTTTGTTCAAATAAAAGCCCTGGGGTCAAAATTGGCCATGCCCCAGGGGTTCATTGATTTTCCCTATATGCATATAGTAAAAACTTAAAAAATATTCTTTTAAAGAACCCAAAGAGCTAGAGCTAAGATATTTAGCATGAAACATGTTCTAATGGATGTCTACCAAGTTTGTTCAAATAAGAGCCCTGGGGTCAAAATTTGCCCTGCCCCGGGGGTCATTGATTTTCCTTATATGTGTATAGCAAAAACTTAAAAAATCTTTTTTGAAAAAAACCAAATAGCTAGAGTTTAGATACTAAGCATGAAAACATCTTCTAAGTGAGTGTCTACCAAGTTTGTTGTAATAAAAGCCCTAGGGTCAAAATTGGCCCCGTCCTGGGGTCATTCATTTTCCTTATATGTGTTTAACAAAAAACTTAAAAAATCTTCTTTGAAAAAAACTCAAATAGCTACAGTTTAGATATTAAGCATGAAGCATTCTTCTAGTGAGTGTCTACAAAAGTTTGTTCAAATAAAAGCCCTGGGGTCCAAATTTGCCCTGCCCCGGGGGGCATTGATTTTCCTTATATGTGTATAGCAAAAAACTTAAAAATCTTCTTTGAAAAAAACCCGAATAGCTAGAGTTTAGATATTAAGCATGAAACATTTTCTAGTAAGTGTCTACAAAGATTGTTCAAATAAAAGCCCTTGGGTCAAAACTGGCCCTGCCCATTGTGTGCCCAATTTTTTTAAAACTATATGTTGTAAAAAAACCCCCTTAAACCGCAGCCCCTGAAAAAATTTTCCCTAATGGGTTTTTAAAAAGTTTGTTAAAATAAAAGCCCGGGGGTTTTAAACGGGCCCCCGCCCCGGGGGAAATAAAACAGGTGGGGCGACTTCAGAGCCATCATGGCCCTCTTGTTAAATTTTGTTAGAATAATTGATTTTGATTTATCATATAAATTTTAATTGGACTTAGTAAAGAATATATATATTTGATTTTCCTTAAAGTGACATTACGCTCATTTTTTGCTGTCAAATTGACTTAAAATAGTTATATATTTCAAGATATTCACTATTGTTATGGCGATTTAGACCAATAATTGATAATGATTTATGAATGATTTTTATAGTAATTTCAGATTACTGATTAATTTTACATAGTAAAATGTAGGATTGAACACAATTATGGCAAAATGTAAAGATATTTTGAATTCTACCTGTGCACTTGCCTTTACATTTAGATAGACATAATGTCACTTTCACAATGAACACTGATTACACCTTTTTTATGCTAATACATGTATAAGAAATTGAATTAATGATTGCTTGTTCTTATATTATTGCTTACGTAAGATGCAATATTTTGAAATTAGTAACTGTATGATGTTTTAATTATTATAGGAGATATGTAAATGAATGATATACTTTAAAAAAAATTAAGGTGATATAAAATGTGCTATTTACATTAAAAGTTATAGGAGATATGACTGATTTACTTTAAATATTACAGGAGATATGTAAATAAAACATATGAGATATGTAAATGATTGATTTGTTTTACAAATTATAGGAAAAATATAAATAAATCATTTGCTTTAATAGTTATAGAAGATATATAAAGAAATGATTTGTTTAAAATTACAGGGGGAGATGATGGTCAGTCCTGCAGCATATGCTCATTTTATACACATGATAAATTCCCTAGCTGATGGCAGAGTGTGTGCTGTACTTGAGGTATGACTAAGGAAGTTAATTCTATTTATTGCTAGAAAAACATTCATGAACTTAATTCTTGCTTGAAATATAAAGATAGCATGTAAATCTGTATCACAGTAAAAGATTAGAAATTATGTAGCTATTCATGTTCTAGTATTTAAATGAGTATATCAAAGGCAATGTTAAATTAAGAGATTTACTGGAAATTTAACATGTAAGCTCCTTCTCTGTCCTGTACTATGTACTGTAGTTACATTAGAGTGATGAGACTAAAAGAAGTGAGGACAACATTAAATGATGTATTCTGGTATATATACAAGATAAGGAGCTTGAATAATGTTGCCAAAATCTCTCCTTTCCACTCACAGAAATGCATTTTAAGATGCCTAATTCATCTGTTCACACCCATTTCTATACCATAGGGAATGAAAAATGTAAAAATCAGCCTAAAAAGCGATATTTTTCTAATTTGTAATCATGATTTCTGCAAGCGTCTGGAGTTACTGCTCCAACACTGTAGTGACTTATATCTGTTACCCTATGGTTTTGCTTTATTCAATGTTTTATTTCCATTAATATATAATTGTAAATGTTCTGTTCTGCACAGGGAGGTTATAATATAAAGTCCTTGTCAGAGGGTGTGGCTCTCAGCGTGCGGTCATTGTTAGGTGACCCCTGTCCATTGCTCAAACCAACTACTGAACCATCAGACAGGTAAATAACTTGTTAGTCTTATACTCTAGGGTGAGACCTCTCAGTGGTTAAGGTGGTTGACTTCAAACCACTTGCCCTTCACCGCTAGGGGTTCAAATCCCTTCAGTGAGGTGTTCTTCAACTAATAAAGCTGGAAAGTCACCATTTAAGATAAATTACATATTGAGATTGTATTCCTAATGGCATTGATATATTATGACCTTGTATTAAAGTCTGTATTCTGAATTGAATTTATATACAATGCACAGTCATTACTTTCTTTAAAAACTAGTCAAAATGATGATAACACAATTTCTTAATTTTGCACTAGTATGTTTTCTATTGGAAAAAAAGATATCAATGCTTTAAGTGACTTCTCTCTAGGATTACAGAGTTAATTATATTAGTACATAGTTATATATTGTGACAGATTATATGACCCATTAAAGCTATCCAGCTAGCTTACGGAACGTCGGTGGTTCGACTCGGGTGCCCGTTCGTGCCTGAAATAATGCATGGAGGGGCATCTGAGGTCTTCCTCCACCAGTAAAGCTGGAACGTCGCGATATGACCTATACTGTGTCGATGTGATGTAAAACCCAATCAAACAAACAAATATGACCCATTATAATACCACAAGTTTGTAACATTGCTTTTCATTGGATAATTATGATGTTTATATAAACACTAAAAACATCTGCTGTTAATTCATAAATTAATTTCATTTATTTTCACAAAAACTGTTAATATTTGCTGTACTATAGATTTTGTTATCAAGATTCTTGACAGGTTATATGGCCATATTTAAATGTTTGTTTGCAATATAATCCTTGCCTAATAGCTTGGGGTATATAATTATGCAAACAATGGTTTATGAAGGACCATATAACCTGTCAAAAATCTTTTTATAATTGACATTATAAACAGTTGTTAGCTTATATGTTAAAGATGGTTATATAGAAAATTATTTTTCATTTCTGCCATATAACTTTCTCAAGACTTCTAACAGATTTATAATATTACAAGTGATTTCATGATTTTAAGTTATAAATTACTAATACATTTTGCAACAGCTGCTTAAATTGATATTTAAATGTTGATAAGTGGTTAAGGATTTAGACATCAAACCACTTGTCTGTCTCTGCTGTAGGTTCAAGTTGCTCCAGTGTCTTTGAATTCTTTCATGTGAGAAGGTTTTCCAGCTACCTTGAGAAACGTCTGTGGTTCTACTTGGTTATCAATTTATGCCTGAACTAATAAATGCACAGAGGAGCACTTGAGGTCTTTCTTCAGCATTAAGGCTTAAAAAGTTGCCATATGATCTTTACTGTGTTGTTGTGATGTTCAACCCAACAACAAAAAAACAACAAAAAGATGTCTTGTATTATGAGTCTATTTAATAATATGTATAGAGGATGCATTTGTAATACATATAATGCAGACACATGTTGCTACTTCTATCGTTTAATGACCACACAATGTTCAAGGTATATGAATGGTTGGAAATGTTAAATTGTCAAATGAAAATTTTAAACATCATGCAGTATGATAAATGACATTGATGTTTTAGTGTTACAGAGAGTATACTGAATGTTATAAAGTGTCTCGCTCCATACTGGACATGTTTATGTTATCAACCTCAACTGGATGAGGATGAACCTTGCGAACTTGATGGTGTTAACGATGATCCTCCAAAGTGAGCAAATTTTTTATTCATTTGTAATTCAAAAGTTAATGAAGCAAATGTTTGAAGCCCTATGATATGCATGTATCCTGATTATATAATAAGTGAAGGCATTGATTACTTACAGGATATACTTATTAAATTTATACATGTTTCATATTAACCTGAAATTAGAGATATATTGTATTAGGTTAAAATACATAGCTCTTTGACAATATAAAAGCTGAACAGTCAATGTAGAGTGAAAATTAATTTTAAGGTTTTTAAATGATTATGCCCCCATTTCGAAGAAAAGGGGGTATATTGCTTTGCACTTGTCGGTCCGTCGGTCCGTCGGTCTGTCGGTCCGTCGGTCCGTCGGTCCGTCGGTCCGTCAGTCCGTAGACCAAATGGTTTCCGATTGATAACTAAAGAACCCTTAGGCCTAGGAACTTCAAACTTGGTATGGTGATTGGTCATGACCAGTAGATGACCCCTATTGATTTTGGGGTCAAGGGGTCAAAGGTCAAGGTCACATTGACCTTGTAAGCAAAAACGGTTTCCGATCAATAACTAAAGAACCTTAAGGCCTAGGAACTTCAAACTTGGTATGGTGATTGGTCATGACCAGTAGATGACCCCTATTGATTTTGGGGTCAAGGGGTCAAAGGTCAAGGTCACATTGACCTTGTAAGCAAAAACTGTTTCCGATCAATAACTAAAGAACCTTAAGGCCTAGGAACTTCAAACTTGGTATGGTGATTGGTTATGATCAGTAGATGACCCCTATTGATTTTGGGGTCAAAGGGTCAAAGGTCAAGGTCACATTGACCTCTTGGGTAAAAACAGTTTCCGAGTGATAACTAAAGAACCCTTAGGCCTAGAAACTTCAAACTTGGTATGGTGATTGGTCATGACCAGTAGATGACCCCTATTGATTTTGGGGTCAAAGGTCAAGGTCACATTATTGATTTTGGGGTCAAAGGGTTAAAGGTCAAGGTCACATTGACCTCTTGGGTAAAAACAGTTTCCGAGTGATAACTAAAGAACCCTTAGGCCTAGAAACTTCAAACTTGGTATGGTGATTGGTCATGACCAGTAGATGACCCCTATTGATTTTGGGGTCAAAGGTCAAGGTCACATTGACCTTGTAAGGAAAAACGGTTTCCGATCAATAACTAAAGAACCTTAAGGCCTAGGAACTTCAAACTTGGTATGGTGATTGGTAATGATTAGTAGATGACCCCTATTGATTTTGGGGTCAAGGGGTCAAAGGTCAAGGTCACATTGACTTTGTAAGCAAAAACAGTTTCGATCAATAACTAAAGAACCTTAAGGCCTAGGAACTTCAAACTTGGTATGGTGATTGGTCATGATCAGTAGATGACCCCTATTGATTTTGGGGTCAAGGGGTCAAAGGTCAAGGTCACATTGACCTCTTGGGTAAAAACGGTTTCCGATCAATAACAAAAGAACCCTTAGGCCTAGGAACTTGAAACTTGGTATGGTGATTGGTTATGACCAATCAGATGACCCCTATTGATTTTGGGGTTAAGGGGTCAAAGGTCAAGGTCACATTGTACTTGTAGGTAAAAACGGTTTCCGATCAATAACGAAAGAACCCTTAGGCCTAGGGACTTCAAACTTGATATGGTGATTGGTCATGATCAGTAGATGACTCCTATTGATTTTGGGGTCAAGGGGTCAAAGGTCAAGGTCACATTGACCTCTTAGGTAAAAACGGTTTCCGATCAATAATTAAAGAACCCTTAGGTCTAGGAACTTCAAACTTGGTATGGTGATTGGTCATGACCAGCAGATGACCCCTATTGATTTTGGGGTTAAGGGGTCAAAGGGCAAGGTCACATTGACCTTGTAGGTAAAAATGCTTTCCGATCAATAACTAAAGAACCCTTAGGCCTAGGAACTTCAAACTTGGTATGATGATTGGTCATGACCAGCAGATGACCTATTGATTTTGGGGTCAAGGGGTCAAAGGTCAAGGGCACATTGACTTTGTAGGTAAAAGCGGTTTCCAATCAATTAACTAAAAACGCTTAGGCCTAGGAACTTCAAACTTTGTATGATGATTGGTCGTGACCAGCAGATGACCCCTATTGAGTTTTAGGTCAAGGGGTCAAAGGTCAAGGTCACATTGACCTTGTTAGTAAAAACTGTTTCTGATCAATAACTTAGAACGCTTAGGCCTAGGAACTTCAAACTTGGTATGGTGATTTGTCATGACCAGCAGATTACCCCTGTTGATTTTGGGATCAAGGGGTCAAAGGTCAAGGTCACATTGACCTTGTAAGTAAAAACGGTTTCTGATCAATAACTTAAGAAAGCTTCGGCCTAGGAACTTCAAACTTGGCATGGTGATTGGTCATGACCAGCAGATGACCCCTATTGATTTTGGGGTCAAAGGTCCGGTCACATTGACCTTGTATGTTAAAACGGTTTCCGATCAATAATAAAAGAACCCTTAGGCCTAGGAACTTCAAACTTGGCATGGTGATTGGTCATGACCAGCAGATGACCCCTATTGATTTTGGGGTCAAGGGGTCAAAAGTCAAGGTCACATTGACCTTGTAGGTAAAAACTGTTTCTGATCAATTAACTAAAAACGCTTAGGCCTAGGAACTTCAAACTTTGTATGATGATTGGTCATGACCAGCAGATGACCCCTATTGAGTTTTGGGTTAAGGGGTCAAAGGTCAAGGTCATGACCAGTAGATACTTGATAACCCTTATTAATTGTTTGATCACTGGGTCAGAAGTCATGCATAATAACCTTATCACATGACTAATTGGCTGCTGATAGGGGGCATACATGTTTTACAAACATATCTTGTTTAATATAAATATGACTCGAGCATCAAAAAGGCTTCCAAAACAAACCTCACACAAAATATCGTATTCAAAGAGACAGAGGTAAAACTACATGTGTTTGTTTTTTTAGGTGATATTCTATAAATTGTGTGAGACTTTGTTTTGGTACACTTTTCTGCTTTCAAGAAGTTTCTCTACACTTTAGGAATTATAGATTTTCTTTTCCTTCTTTTCTAGAGATGGCATTGTGTTTCAAACACCCGAGAACAAGCCATCTGAATATCCGTTGACTTATGCCTACCCATATAAGGTAGAGCAGGAATATTTACAGGCAGATTCTAATTGGAATAATATTATAGATAACTTGATTGCAGAAACATCACTAACCGTACCACCTCATAGGTAAGTTAATAATAATTGAATCTTCCCATAGGTAAGTTAATAATAAATGTACCACTGCATATGTAAGTAAATAATAAGTGTACCACCTTAACCCATTACACGATATACACGCCTTTTAACTCCTTTTCCACCCCCCCCCCCCTTTTTGTTGTCTCAAATGGTGAAAAAAAGTCTTTGTTAGGCCCCAAACACTTGTTTTTGTTTGAGAAATGTTGTTTAAAAAAGTGACCACTTTTTCGGCTTGGCCCCCAACCAAAAGATACATCAGTGGGTTGCCAGAAGGGTGATGTGCCCCCTTCTGTTTGGGGGGCCGCAGTCCCCCTCATCACCAAGAAAATTTTGGACTTGTGAGACGCTAAAATTGACCCCAGATTGATCATAAGGTAATGTGTAACTAATGCTGAAGAGTATTTGACTCTATCTCAATCCATTGAGAAGTTGCAGCACTTTGAAATCAATTTTGATGGAAAAAATCAAGGCAAAATAGTGATTTTTGGCAATTTTGAGATGTCCCCTTGTTGTCATGGTAACAGGAAATTTAAGCCTTGGCATGTTGTTACAAAGGCAATGGTCCAGTCAACATTTATGGCAAGTTTGATTAGTATTGAAGCAGTTTTTATAGTTTAATAGCAATTTGACCATGTAACTGGAGCTTTTTCAATGAAAAAAGCCATTTTTTAACAAAATGCTCATGAATTAATGGGTTAAAGCAGGCCTCGACATTAGCGGTGGTCCGTTGGTCCGAGCCCACCTGATTTTGGCAAGGACCACCTAATTTTTAAAGCCACTGGTCCGTCGGACCACTTGTATTTTCTGGTTTGTGCAGGCTTATTTGGGATGATTGCGATTTGGTCGAAAACATGTTATATACATTTTGTTTAAAATCATTTGTCCGATGTACATGTATATGGTTCATTTTTCTCTGATAGTTCAAGAAGTTGAGTCATCAATTACTTTCATTTTAAGTTGCTAAAATTTTGTTGATGCAAGTTAAAAAAGAGTTAAGATTTTGTGATATTAATTTATGTACAAATTCATTCAAATGATGCTAGTTATTATGCACCGTCGGATACCCATGGTTGGACCATTGACATTTATGTTATGTTGCATGTTAATCAACCGTGGGTATCAGACGATGGTAATTACGAGATTGTATGGGATATCGGAATAAACTTAAATTTCAGATACTTGAATAATATGGCCGCGAACGAAAGGAACTGGAAAATTGCATCTAGTAATTCTTTGCTACTTATGTTTTACGATAAGAGATAAATTTCTCCTAGAGTTAAAATTACTTAAAAAAGGTTAAAAATACTCATTGTCAAAAATAAATATCAATTAATCAACAAGCAACAGGGAATTAAAAATTCTTTATTTAAATAAATCAGTGAGAAAATAAACTAAACTAGTTATATATAACGTTGTTACTATTTTTTATCCTTTAGATATTTCCATGTTTTCTAAGACAAGAATAAGATAATGTATTAGTTTTATTAAAAATGTTAATCTATAAAAGATACATGTAATTATTATGATAATCAGACGTACCCCGTATCAGCAATAAATATTTGAATAACAGTAAAAAAAATAACAGGCACAAATGGTTTCAATATTCTTTAACTTGAGTTGAGGGAGAAATCACTTCAATATAAAAGTTAACATAAATAACTTATTTACTAAAAGTTAAGAGCTATGTGTGTATTTTTGAATGAGATAAAAAAAAAATACCACAAAAAAACAGATAACTAAACGATAGAATACCTATTGACTTGCTCTTCTTAAATTCTGATTTAAAAAAGATATAGCTCTATTTAAAATATCTGTTTTTCTTTAAAGGTTAATATATAATACATCTTTGTCATCATTTCAAAGCATTTTTTTCTAAATTTGCAGTAAAATGATCACTGATTGTACCACCACATAGGTAAGGTGATGATCATTTGAATGCAAGCAGTGACTAGCTTGTGTTACCTGTATGAAGCTAGGCCAGCCTGCACATCCATACAATCTAATCAGGCTCTATGCCATTTGCTGTTCAATTTTAATATTTTCATTTTCAAATGTCATACACTAGCAATTAAAACAGAACTGTATTGATTTCAAGCAAAAATATTTTTGCCACTATCTCACAATAGCAAAAAAAAGTGTAAGAGTTAAATAAAGTTTTCTGATTTTGCATTATTTTATAATTTCCTTCATTGTAGGACATGTTTGGTGTATGACAAAGGAATGAAGGCTCACAGAGCTATTGGAAATCCAGGGTAGGTCATCATTCTTTTTCTCAACATATACATTCATAATAGTTCAAAGTGATTTCTCTAAAAAAGATGATATATTTAGGAAATAGATATCAATTCTGAGTGCATTGTTGTAGAATAATGCACGGTTTGAGTTCAAATGCGTAGTAATATAATCACGAAGGCCGATAGGCCTGAGTGAGTAATTATAAAGCATTTGAACGAAAAAACGTGCATTATTATAACAATAATGCACGAAGAATTAATATCTATTTCCATTCTAACACGTCAAGAAAAAATATAATTATTATTATAAAGTTGGACTTTATGTTTGGCGGTTAAATTTGTTTCCGCCTCAGAGTTTTCCAATAGAAACGTTCTTTAAAGGCCGTTCCAGTGGGTTGAAAAAAACTGTTGTTAAATCTACCGTGTGTAGAAACATTTTGAGAATAACGAATTTTGAAAATGTTGATAAAACTTTGTTTGTTTATTTTATTTCAGTCTATAATTTTCCAAGCGAAATACAAATTATTAAAAGTGAAATAAATTTTTTAAAACTTAACTCGTCTGCGACGTTAAAATAGCGTACTTGATTTTGATTGTTTTGCACGTGCTGTTTGGCGCTACATTTTGACGTCACGTAAACAACACTTTAAACGTCTGTACAGCGTTAACGACTGAATTAAAGATATTGGTGTTCGGATTTATTTTCTTAGTTAGACCATTTTCTATCATTTTAGATACTTTTCACAACAAAATTCGACAAAAAATTGTTTTTATTTATCAGATTTTTCAAACAAAATGGCGCCCTCAATGTGAAAATACACAGGGAGATAAAAAGAACGGCGAGTGCATTGTTGCAGAATAATGCACGCTTCGGGCCTTCTTTGTTTATATAGAAAAATTTCCAATAGTGTTAGAATGATATTTATCCAACTAAGTCGGCAAACAAATTTATATGAGAAAATTATCAGTTTTACATGTATGATATTTAGTAAAATATTGGATGTTAAAATTATGTATATTAATAAAATCTAGTTAAAAAATCTGATTTATGTAATATTTAAATCTATAACTATGTTGAAATTTTGTTTCTATATGTAGTCACCCAGAAAAACCTGAGAGAATATCAAGAATTTATGACAAACATCGAGAATGGGGACTTCTAGAGAGATGCCTACAGCTACAGGTATAAATATAGTAACATTTAGTGATACTCACCTTTACTCTGCTATATTTTGAAATATGGACCTGCTCTTTGAATTTGGAACTTTCCATTATTCAAGTAAGGGATTTTGATGAAAATATTAAAATTAAGCAAACAATATAATTGACTTGGCCTTTGACTTAGGAACTTAGGAATTATTCAAGTAAAGGATTGGTATATAAAAATGTTGAAGTTAAGCATCCTACAGTATAGAGCTTAGTTTGACTGCACATATTGTGCTCTCAGAACAGACTTTATACTGTTGGCTGCTTAGATTTAATCTTTTTTATCTTCTTTGTTTTAACCCCCTAAAACTACAATAGACCAGTCCAAATTCAAAGCAGGGAGAGTCAATTCTACAAATTTAGATATGATAGGGTTTATGTATGTATGTAGTATATTCAAATATACGAGGGGTTATCCAAAAATTCGTTGACTTTTTAATTATCTCTTGAACGTCAACGTGTATTGTAATGAAAATTTATCAGCATACATTGTAGAATATAATCAACACATTTTGAAAGGAACAGTTAATTGTGTCAATAAATAATGATTTAATATTGCTTTTAAATTAGCACATAAACGGCACCCGGCGCACGGTAGAAAAGAGCAGCAAGTCATCGTATATTTCTTGCTAAAAAACTAAAAAAAATTAACGTAGAAAACCTGCTGAACATCGCATATTTCTTCTATGTTGTCATTTAAGTAATTCTTTAAAATAATAGACGTCATTTCCGTTTAATTTGTTTATATCGCTAGAAACGCCAGACGCCTTTATTGTTAACAACGGGAAAATGACGACACGCGGTAATTTGAAAAAATAAACAAACATAAATTTTTGTTGGGATTTGGGAATGACACCTACAAAAACATTTGATAAAAATCAGCAGACACACGGAGAAAAGAAAATTTCACGATCATTTTCTGTTAAAGTGGCATAAAAAATTAGTGATGGACATTACTTTGAGAAGCAGTAACGCGTCATTGACTGCGTAACGTTGAAGCACAAGTTGTAACGTTAATATTATAACGTTGATGTCAATAACTTTTTGGAGTGCGCGCTGTCTCCGATATGTGTTTATAGTAAAATGAAATATTGTTGTAATGTAAGAAGATATTCACATGAATTTTTCTGTGTTTATTTGTAATTAATTCTTCTAAGCAGTGTAAGAATTTCAAATTAATATCTCAAATATATTTTACACAACAAAGAAAGTCCACGTATTTTTGGATAACCCCTCGTATGTTGAATACTGGTAGATTACATAAATGATTTTATCCTATATTTTTTATTTATGAGTTGTTACACTTTTTAGACTTTTTGAATTACATTTCTTAAAAATAAAGTTAATAAATAACATGTTAAGATAAAAATTCAGTGATTTTCAGAGGCAAATTAGGAAGTTGGTTGTAGAGGGCTTGTAAGTTGTTTATCAAGATTATATGGGGGCTAATAAATGTACTGCTGAAAATAAGGTCTTAAACAAGCCCTTGATATGAAACAGACACAAAAAACCAAATTATTACAAAAAGAAATTAAATTGTCTAAAACTAAAATTGTCTAAAACTATATATATATATTTTAGGTAGGAGTACATGCAGTTAAGGTTGACTTACTGTATCAGCAAAGACAAATGTTACATTAACTTTTATTTCTTGGTTTCAGTGTAGACTGGCAGAGCATGAGGAGTTGGAGCTGGTACATAGGTAAAATTTGATTTGTGTTTGCTTGATAGAATAGTTTAACTCTACAAAAATATACATCTACAAAAATATACATTTCTATAAGTATAGCATTGTGGTGAAAAACAAGAAATATTGAATTAAATTAAATAATTAAATTAAGAAATAACTGTATGAATGTGTCCCTTAAAAAAGAAGTTCAATAATTTGATTAATGATGTGCACATGCCACCAGAATGAAGCCAAGTCAGTCTGCATTTACTAGAACTCTGACTAGACTTTCTGTACTGTTGGGTTCCATAGTTTTGTATTCTTATACTGAAATTCTTATCACTCACAACAGACATTAAAATTATATTATAGGCCTTTAATTTATAAATGTTATAATTAGATAAGATGTGAATTAGGTATAACTAACTGAGCCTGAAATTATCAAAAGATGTCTATAAATATAATCTCTTACAACTGAGCATGCAAAACTTGTACTGCCACTATAGGGTCAGGTCAGTACACACTTTCATGCTGTCTTACAAGACTTCTCTAATGAACTTTAAAGTTAACTTTGTTCTCCCAAAACTTCATAATGAAATGCTCAAAATTGAAAATTGGACATGATAATTCAAGAATTAAGCAGGTTTTCAAGGTATTTTTGGTAATTTTTATTTTTTTGTTATGTCAGTGCAATGTTTATTGAAGAGATGAAATCAACAGAAATGTTCAGTCTTGAACAGATGTCCCATTTCCAAGAGAGATTTACACTACCTGGTGAAAAAGTACCAGTTTTTGTGAACAATGTAAGATTTAGAAAAAAAAGAGCTCAAAATCTAAGATTATTCCAGAATTCCTGAAGTATACATTCCTGCTTTCCTTGCCTAGTTAGGAAACATTCTATATGATGTATGGTTGTGGTGATTTATCATATAATTTCATGACCTATGCATGCCTCCACAACTCCAAAACACATTAAGCTTATGCAATTAACTAATTATATATTGATATGTGTTAACTTTAATTAATAGTTACTGTAAGCTTTTTCATCTGTTATCAAAAACTACCCCAGTCTTGTAAATATGAAAAGAATAGAATCAGAAAGAATCTTTTAAACTCAGTGTTTTTCAATTACAAATTAAATAGAGAAATAGTCTGAGATAAATTTGCCATTTTTTCAAGCATTAAACCAACAAATACCAAATGTCTTATCTTAATGTTAAAGTGAAGGTACATACTGTTTTAATGAATTATGTACTGTTTACTTTTCTATTGTCTGTCTACAAACATGTTCTTGTAACTGTAAAGGAGCTTTATGTACCTAAAACAACAAATGACAGGCTTCTGTTGAGCATCATCTGGTCTGTTCACATCTAAGACATTTTAAAGTCATGTATACTTTCCAATCTTCATGAAATTTGGTCAGACTGCTTCCACTGAAATGGTGATTTTGAAAATAGGTCTACTGTAGGTCACCTATAGGATAAACAAAATACCAAGTTACTAACAAAATGAATAATATTATATCTGTTTGTATTCTGTCCAGTGGATAGATTTGCTAAAAATGACGATTTGCCTCACAGTTGATTCACCCCATTATGACTCAACCAAAGTCAGTGACGATTTCCCCCGCTTTAGTGACAGTTCAACCCACTGTATATTTTACATTTTGCTATTCATTTGCATTGAAAATGTATATGGTTTGAGTGTTAGTTTTGCATATATTTGTTCTATTTTTATGTATAACATTTCATTTGGAGATAGAATAAGAAAACTATCAGTGTAACAGAATGAATAATTTTTAATATCTTTTGTATTTTATTATTATGCTTTCCATGTTATTGATGTAAATAGATTGATGTAAGTGATAATTGTTAATTGGTATCTTTTTATTTTTTACTGAGGAATGTTTATTTATACTTCGACTAAGAGATTTTCTATTAATTCAATTTATGCTAACATAAATTTTGTCATTTTCTTAAACAAGTAACACAAGGCCTTAAACTGAAAAAAGATATAGTATTTCAATGCATACCACCAACTGGAAAAAAATATTATACAAAGCATATATATTTGACTTAAATATTCTTGAAAGAAAGAAAGAAAAAAGAAAAGATGGTGCCACGATGATTATTGAAGCAGGATGATTCAACTAATCATTACTAAATTGGGGTGAATGGCTATAGGGTAAATCCTAAGTAGGCATATCATTATCAGTGAGATGTATAAAAATTTAATATCCCATGGTTAAATTTTTATCATCAATATCAATAATTTAAACTTGATTGAGAAACATTTGTTTGAATATATTTTATATTAATCATTTTTGAGTACAACAGCTAACCAATTAGATATTGTTGTGAACAAAATAGGGCTCAAACCTTTGATTCCTATGATAACGGGTAGGCACTTTAACCGGGAAACGAACAAAAGCCCTCGCGGACAAAAGCCCTCCCATCAAAAAATGACAAGGCGGACAAAAGCCCTCCAATAAAAATGACAGGGCGGACAAAAGCCCTCTCGTGAAAATAAAAGGGCAGACAAAAGCCCTCCCATGAAAATGCCTGGGCGGACAAAAGCCCTTCCGTGAAATTAACAAGGGGGACAAAAGCCCTCCCGTCACGAAAATAAAGATGTATGTTGAATACCTGTGTTTTCAATGCACACAACATATTAAAATTGTTACATATATTTCTTGTTGTTTTAAATTGGCCTAAGTATGTGTATGAACTAGAACCACCTTTTACTCTGAATATACCTTCCTGAAATGTTTAACTAGGTAACTTTTTACACAAGTGTCATAAAAAACAAAGTCACTTTTAAAGTAATTGACTCAGTACAAGGCACTTTATAAATGTCTTTAACTTTTAAGTTAGATAATTTTAACTTCTTTTCATCATTTATTACTCTATTAATATTAACTTCACATAGGAGTAATCCTTCATATCTACATGAATAAATATACACTTACAGATTTTCTTTTCAACATACAAATATGTATTTGCTGCGGGAGGGCTTTTGTCCGCCCTATTATTTTCACGGGAGGGCTTTTGTTTGCCAAGTCATTATTACGGGAGGGCTTTTGTCCACCCTGCCATTTTCACGTGAGGGTTTTTGTCCGCCTTGTCATTTTCACGGGAGGGCTTTTGTTCGCCTTGTCACTTTTTGACGGGAGGGCTTTTGTCCGTGAGGGCTTTTGTCCTACACTCACTTTAACCAGTTTGCCACTGCATCCAATATTATAAATAATTACCTATTACCCATGTATATTCCTATCAATATATAGTCAGAGACATGTGCAATGTATGAAAGAGCTAGAAGACAAAGAAGTGCTAGAACTTAAACATCTACAACATAAATATAATTCTATATACCTTACAAAGGTGAGAACTATGCATTATATCTTAACATTACCTTTAGATGTTTGACAATTGAATATCCACATAGCATATCATACTAGATAATAGTGTTGGCATGACTATAAGATAGCAAGGTATAAAAAATAACAAAAGCAATAATTTTTTTAAACTTTGAAAAGTGTTACTATATTGAAAGGTCAATGACATAATTATGTAAATTGTTGATAACCTTACAAGAAAATAATGTTGCCAAGGTTTTGAATTTTAATTGAATCAAAATTTAGTTAAAAGTCTTTTATTAATCGATAATTTAAAAGAAAACTTGTAGTAAGTTATAAATTAATTGGATTTTTAATTGTGATAATTTTTGATGAAAATATAACCTTTGAATATGAGTATTTACAAAGATGATATATACATTTATGTGATAATATTTATTATACATATATTGAATTTTTACTACAGGAATCATACATCTGTGCAAGGATGGCAGCTGGCTGCACCTTAAATGTGATAGACTGTGTGCTTTCAGGGCAGGTATGTTTCCTTTTTAAACTGTAGAGACTGTATGCTTTCAGGGCAGGCACTATCCTTTTTAAACTGTACATACTGTGCGCTTTCAGGGCAGGTATGTTTCTTATTTAAACTGTAGAGACTTTATGCTTTCAGGGCAGGCACTGTACATACTGTGTTCTTTCAGGGCAGGTATGTATCCTATTTAAACCATACAGACTGAGTTCTTTGTGTATTTAAGTTTATTTATACTCCCCACATATGGGCGAGTCCTCCAGAAGTGTGTTAGTCATTTTAGATTTTGAAGAATAGTGGAGGACACTTAAACAGAAAGATGCCCTAGTTCCAGGAGCTTCTCCTGGTTCTTTAGTGTGCCAAGTGTAAGCACTGATACACGGGACCTTGATTTAAAATCTCATCGGAAAGACTGTTTAGTAATTTTTAGTTGGCCAGCCCGAGAATCGAACCTACAATGTCAAGATTGCAAGTCTCGTACTCTAACCAATTGAGCTATGCGGGCTGGTTGACAGTGTTCTTTCAGGGCAGGTATGTATCCTGTAAACTGTATCTCACTTTGTAGATCTGTATTGTTAATAATTATAAATTTCCTGGCAAGTCAGGTGTATATCATAATTTAAAACATATGTGTTTCCATACAGGAAAGGTTTGTATCCTAATTCAGGGAAGATTCTGAGTGAATATATTAATTTTGTTATATTCTTTTGATAGTATTTATAACTATTTTTAGTGTACATTTATTAAATTGAAAGTTTGAGAGATTAAAAGGCACTGTAGATACAGTAATTTGGCAGTGTTTTAAAATTACCATGTTAAAGATTACAAATAAAATTATCATCATGTCTAATGATCATTTACTATTTTCTTTCAGGCAAGAAATGGTGTAGCGATTGTTAGGTATGTTGATAGTTTTATATTTCATATATTTCAGGTCATTTATTCAGGTCATTTATTGTTTATTTATAAACATGTGTTTCATTGGGCATATTTTTAAATCTCTTGCAAAACATTTTGATCTTACAGTTATAGGTTGCTTTGAAAAGGCCTCATTGGCAGAAATGTAAAGGTTGTTCACATTGAGTCAGCTGCCTTTTGTAGATATAGCTTTGAATCTGACCAGTGACTTTGAGTTCTGTTAAGTTTTAAAGTTTGTCAGCTAGCATACAGTAGATTGATGGGTTTACTTGCCTGCTATTGTCAGGTTAGAGGGTATAGAAAGTCTTTCTGTACAAGCAAAGCTGGAAAGAGGTGTAATAGTCAAATGTGAATGTGACTTTAAGTCTAGTATAAGATATAACATGTACTTTATTTTCTATTACATGTATTTTTGAAAACACTGAAATATGTGAGGTTTTAACAATGTAAATCAAAATCCCATATATATGTAAAACATTTGATAATTTAAACTTAAGTCAATATTAGCCATTTACAAAAAGTTTGAACGAAAATATATTTTTGTGTTTTAGACCACCGGGACACCATGCTGAGTGTGAAAAACCTATGGGGTTTTGTTTCTTCAATTCTGTTGCAATAGCAGCCAGATATGCTCAAAAGAAATTTGCCGTGAAAAAGTAAGTTCAATAACCATTGAAAGCTTTTGCACATTTTATATCCCTCTAGGGGTGCTGTCTAATATTTGATTTAGAATAGTCTTTTAATACACCATGATGCAATGTTTGTTTCTATTCTTTTGTTATACTGATGAGATATCATACACATCAATGTTGTTATCATTCCGTCTGCTTTAATACACGTATAGACACTTGTTGATTACAACAGACTTCATAAAGGTCAAATGTTCACCATGGAAATGACCACTAAAAGATTGTTAGGTAGCTATAGAACATTTTGGCATACAGTCTTAAGATTAAGTGTGGAGGTTGGTCAGGACTAGAGGATGAATCCTATTTATCATGAGATCTAAATGTCAAATGTTAAGGTCATCATGAACTTTACCACAAAAAGCTTGTCTGACCAACTACTAGAGAAAGTTTTGGCCTACAGTCCTAATTTTTTATGAGAATGTTGGCCTTGACATTTAAATGAACTCTTAAATTTTATGTCTAAAGGATAAAGGTCACCATCGACTTGAACATAAAACTTATCTATTCTATAACATGAGAATGCTTTAGCCTACAGACCCAAGAATAAGTCACCGTAAAGAGTAGAGACTGATCATGAATGGTATATGTCACCTATTGATTTTGAGGTGATAAGTTCAAGGTCTTGCCTTGTCCACTGAGAGCTTAATGGACCAGTAACCAGAGGATGCTTTGGCCTACAGTCCTTACATTTGTTATGGTGGTTGATCGTGACTAGAGGATGACCACTATTGATTTTGAGTTCATTAAATGAAAGTCACAGTGACACTTGAAAAACTTGTGCAATCAGGAACAATTAGTTATAATACTATTATTTGATATATTATGTTTTGATATAAACACTTGACTTTTATACAATATGCATAAGTATGTACATATTTAACTGTGATGGCAAATGAAGAAGAGGGTATAAGTATCCTAAGAAAAAATTTCAATTTTATTTCGCTTCTAAGAAGAGTAACTTCACATCACATATTACATAAGCGTATATACAAAGAAGATTTATCTCCCTTTTTCCTTTTTTGATACATGTTTTCAGCCTTGGTTTTTGTTTATATACATGACATTGTATTTACATGACAATTATTGTCTATATTAAGTCATATAAATGTAATACATTTATTACTTCATTTTTCATCCCTCCTTCAAGGCCCGGGGGATATAGAAATAGTCTCTGTTCCTCCGTCCGACATTTTTGTCCGGAGCATATCTCAAAATGTATTTGAGGTATCAACTTGAAACTTAATAGGTGGATAGGTCTTATTGAGGAGGAATGCTGTGCGCAAGAATGATAACTCTTCCCTTTATAATTTTGAGTTATTGCCCTTTGTTATTTTTCATGCTTAATTTTTGTCCAGGGCATAACTAAAAAAGTGTAAGAGGTATGAACTTGAAACTTTATAGGTGGATAGATCTTATTGAGGAGGAGTGCAGCACACAATAATGATAACTCTACCTTGCATAATTTTTCAGTTATTGCCCTTTGTTATTTTTCATGCTTAATTTTTGTCCAGAGCATTACTAAAAAAGCCTTCAAGATATCAACATGAAACATCATAGGTGGATAGATCTTATTGAGGAGGAGTGCAGCACACAAGAACGATAACTCTACTCTGCATAATTTTTCAGTAATTGCCCTTTGTTATATTTTCGTGCTTAATTTTTGTCCAGAGCATTACTAAAAAAGCCTTTGAGATATCAACATGAAACTTCATAGGTGGATAGGTCTCATTGAGGAGGAGTGTAGCACACAAGAATGATAACCCTACCGTGCATAGTTTTTCAGTTATTGCCCTTTGTTATTTTTCATTCTTAATTTTGTCCAGAGCATAACTATAAAAGCCTTTAAGATATCAACTTGAAACTTCATAGGTGGATAGATCTCATTGAGGAGGAGTGCAGCACACAAGAATGATAACCTACCCTGCATTTTCCGGTTATTGCCCATTGTTATTTTCAGCCATCAGTATTCACATAGGTTTCAAATCTGTAATCACTTCATCAATCTGTTTTCATTATCAAAAGACTTCTTAAAATTGAATTATTCTGCTCTACTACATATACATTCTTCAAATGCCAAGGGATAGCCATGTTGGCATGGCTCTTGTTTAAACTGATATCAAGACATAAAATGTATGTTAGGAGCTATAATGTGATAAGTGGAAAACAAGAAAATTATAAAAGCAAAATAAAAAAAAACTACTCTGATTTATTTTGTTTTCATTATACCAGTGAAGCATAGTTATTAGAAAAGTATTATAGGATTAATATTTTTCTTTCTTTTTTTTTCAATTACATAACATTGTTTCAAAATCAATAAAAATGCATGTAATATTATGTCCTTTTCAGAACGGGCAAGAATCAATTGTACTTGGTATCTGCCACTTTTAATCTTTTAGTGCAAAAATAGGTTGTTTTTAAGTTTAATTTTATATTTTAGTCTTGCATCCATGTTCTACTAATTATTAAATAACCTACAGATAGTAAAATTCAGGTAAAAATACATTATCTATATTTCTTTATAATAGAAATACAAGTGTGTTTCAATAGTGACACTGCATTCAAACATTTATTCAAGAAGGTACTTTTAAAATCTGGATTAAAATGACTGCTTAATAACAAAGACATAACATTGAAACAAATTTAACATCACGGAAAAAATGAAACCTCTTTAAACAGACTAATTCGGTGACACTTTTTAAACAATTTTCAATGAAACTCAACAAGAAGTATCCTTGGGCGATACCATACTTTACAGTACTAGAGCAATTTAAATTGTCATGGCTCTTGTTTATTATTTAATACAAGAAAAAAAAAAAACTCACAAATAGCTCTACATAAAAGAAGCTCTAAAAATATTATTGAAATTATGAGATTTCATCACTTGTTTATTTCATGATTCAAATGAAACAAAAATAAAAAAATCTTAGTGATTGTTGAAATAATGAGTAAAATGATATTTTGTGATTGAAAATATGAGTTTAATTCATCTTGTGGTTTATATCCATAAAATATGTTGATTTCAATATAGTAAGTGTTTTGTCACTTTCTTTTAAATGACCTTTTGATACAAGCTAGATTTACAGTACAAGTCATGCCTTTTTTTCAAACTTTATATCTTTCTAGATTCTGTTTTACATTTGATTCAGAATATGTTGTTGATACACCATGATAAGATGGTAGTTTTGAATCATTTCATGCACTGGTTATTGTGTATACTTCAATGTTGTTACTGTCCTCTCTGTTTATAAACATCCTAGACATTTGTTGATTACAGCAAACTGACAAAATTCGACTTCTTCTCCTATCAGCTTTTATAACCTCCCCTATCAGCTCACCATCAAATGTAAACTGTAAAACATTATTGGAGACATTTCCAGATACCAACACACTACCTGCTGCAGAGATATAACAACAATTAGCCCCAGGCAATTGTTTACCATTGTATATTGTAATAAGTTGACCATTATTGTCCAGTACTATCAGTCCAGTATGATGACCAGCAACATAAATCCTTGTACCATCTTGACTGACAGCTAGACTGTATATGTTAGAGCACAGCCGTTGACTCATACTGAACTTATTAAGCTTCTTACCAGACAATGTATACTTATACACTGATCTAAAATAATCTGAAATATATAAATTTTTGTAAGTGTATGCAAGACCATAGCATTGAAAATCAGTCTTAATATTGTTTGTAGTTGTCATTTCTCCTTCTAGAGAAACAAAATGAACCTTTTCTTGTAATGGCAAAGTTACTGCTACTTGTGTGTTATCTATCATACAAACTTGATATGGTTGTTCAGGTAGATCACAGTAATCTGTGACAGTATAGTTGTAGCCGTGTATCTGTTTAAGCTTGTTGTTGTTGTTATCAGCTAGAATTATTGTACCATCTTCCAGACAGCAAGAATGTTCAATTCCACTTACATATTTATCAGATGAAACATTTACACAATATGATTGTTGTCCTGTAATCTGAAATAAAGTGCTAGCAGTCTTTGAAGGTTTCTTTACTCCCAGGGTTTCATTTTCATTTAGATGATTAAGAATTGTTCTGTCAAGTTGAAATTCTAAGTCATTCGATGTACAGTTCCTTTTTGTATCTGCTAAACAATTTTGAGCAATATTTGCAGCATCTTCCCCCATCTTTACATTAACAAACCCATCAGCTTGATTTGGGTTTGGGAATGCTAATTTATCAGTAGCTGTGGTAACATTGGCTTTATGTGCTTGTAGCTGTTTGAGACCCTCTTCAATCTTGTCTTCAAGACATTTGACTTTATCTTCTATCTCATCTACAGATCTTTTCTCTAGCTTGTCAATTTGGTCATTAATTTCTTGACGAAATTTTCTAATATCAGCCAATAACTCTGCCTTTTTTTCAGCTCTTCGTTTTCCTGGGTTTAATTTTGGGGGCTTGTTCAAGGTTTTTTAATGATTTTACTGTTTAAAGAATCTTTTTTGAGCTACTTTTTTGAAAAGGATAAAATTTTTATATGATTTCCTGGCATGTCTGAAAGAAAAAAATCAGAAGGATGGGGGACAGAAATAAATTTTTTTGTAACAAAACATGAGGAAAGTTTGCTCCTTGGTTATTGAGGACTAAAGGGTTTAGCTCAGAATTTCACTGTTATCACTGCATAGTGTAATGACACAGGGGAATCTGTTAGGCATGAAAAAGAAAAATCGTCAATTTTGTAAAAAGGTTTTTTAAAAATTTTGCCCCCTACGGGGATCAAATTATCTGTACAGTTTTATGATGGGCTTTTTACCTAGGACCAAAAAATTAAAGGGATTTTTGGCCCTACTATATATAAAAGTCCTCAAGGTTTGTCACTTTTGACAAATTATTTCAAAACTACCCAAAATTAATTAAATTAGAACATGTGCCATAAAAGACAGCCAAGTTTCAATTTTCCCAAAACCTTTAAATTTTTACAAAAAGGGGTTTTTGTTTAAAAAAA